AATCACGAAATGCTCAATAAAATAAAGTGTTCGTAATCGATGCCATAACATCAATTTAAATATCAGGTTTGCACGTTCGCTGGCTCTACCTATTCAGCGCATGTTTGAGCATTTGGTAGTTAAAAATTAAACCATAAAAATAACATTTCAACAGTGATAACTGCTTGACATATTCCATATTTCCATATCCTTACTGAGACATTGCTCATTACCAGTGGTTAAGAAGCAAATTCCTCGGCGGAAGCAACGAATTCATTGTTAAAAGTAGCCATATTCAGTTCGTTACACTCGTAAGATCTCCAGCCACTGATTATAACATATTGAAATCCAATCAGGAAACGCAGCCGCCCAATGCACTTGATTCACCTAAGAATAAGACTGCCAAACTTAGATTTCAATTAAAAAACGACGATTCCCTTCAACATCTGTTAAATTTTCAACAGATTCTGAAGGAGAAATCGAATACTTTCACCATTACCGAAAATTCTTCAAAAATATCTATTGAGTTCCAAACAATAACGACACAGCAAACAAATGGAAAGGAAAATGACTAAATAAGGCTCACCTCTCCTCCGGCTTGATAGGCGAGAATAGGGTCATCCACTGGCCTCGGCATTGAGTGGATATCCCATATGAGTGCTTGATTATCATCACCTTGAATATCAATCAAATTACACTCAATCAACTTGCAAAAAACAAACAAAACAAACAAACCAGCAGTGCAAATGTGACAAGATGAATGCGGTGCCCATGCCATACCGTTCACGGTAGCACGATGATTATTCAGTTTGGCCACTGGTGTACACGGAATACGAACATCCAATATTATCACCTTTAATCAAAACTTGATGATGCTTAATGAAATTCATTAGTGCAAACTTGCAGATGAGAGCAAAATAACGACAGAACTGAACCTCATTGGAGTCTTGTGCAAAAGTGGCGATATAGTTATGGTCTTGCTTATTACAAGCCAATCTCAGCAAAGGCACACGATTCGGCTCTTCGAATATGATTGTTGAATGCTCCAGATGTCTCAGATCGAACATGCGCACACTACCGTCTGCACCAACACTCGCGAACACCTCACGACCGTTACCCAGTCTCGAGAATGCTATATCGAACACCTCCTTGTCGTGTGCTATCAACTGTGTTTTGACGCTTCCTTCGGTGGTTCGATAGCATCCAATCGCTTGACCCGTCTGCAACCATTCAACAACTTCAACGATCGCTTTCATTACCAAAACTGCACAAGCGATAAATATGATTTACGTTTTCCACACTAACAACTCTTAAAATGGATACGCAATGCGAACGAGTAGAATGTTGAACTGAAAATTGAACTGTCCAAAAATTGGAAAACCGACTTCAATTTGCCATATCGTGCAAGTGGTATCGATACTTGATGTTCCAATTAAAGATATATCAACATCATTCCAATCGAACGACGTTAGAGGTGCGCAATATTCACTACTTCTGTTCTGAAAAACGAGTGTTTATATTAATACAAAATCCAACAAGGTCATTATAACGTATAATCTTGCACAAGCAATCTTCTGCAAATCCATGTTCAACTCACATTGTTCAGTAATACCTCAATGCGTGCTCCGTTCTCTTCACCAACTCGCCATAAACGCAAATAA